ACCCTAAACCCTAAACCCTAAACCCCTTCAAACCCCTTCAAACCCCTTCAAACCCTTCAAACCCTGAACGCCAATCTCTCAAGGCGCCCCCCTACGGGGTAGAGACCCTCAACCCCAGATCCAGGGCCCCTCACGGCCCTCCACCCTAACCCTCAACCCCGGAACCCTGCACCCCCCCGAGACTCCAATATCCCTTAATTAAGGATTATACCTTAAATCATATTAGGGATCCTATTATAATTTAAGGTTTTTTCCTTTATTAAGGGATGTTGGAGTCTCTGGGCATAAACCCTAAACCCTAAACCCTAAACCCTAAACCCTAAACCCTAAACCCTAAACCCTAAACCCTAAACCCCTCAAACCCCTCAAACCCCTCAAACCCCTCAAACCCCTCAAACCCCTCAAACCCCTCAAACCCCTCAAACCCCTCAAACCCTAAACCCTAAACCCTAAACCCCCTAAACCCCTCAACCCTGACACCCAAGAGAACGCCCAGGGTACCGACTGCAGCAGGGCTCTGGCCCTCGCGAGGGCTGGGTGACTCTACGCCTGGCCGGGGGGAAGGCCGCTTCGGTTTGAGGTTTAGGGTTTAGGGTTTAGGGTTTAGGGTTTAGGGTTTAGGGTTTAGGGTTTAGGGTTTAGGGTTTAGGGTTTAGGGTTTAGGGTTTAGGGTTTAGGGTTTAGGGTCTTGAACGGGCCAAGGGTTTTGTTGTTTAAAAGGTGTGGCTCGGCCTTCGGCCTTCTTTTCTTTAAAAGGTGTGGCTCGGGTCCCCTGGTCCCCTGGTCCCCTGGTCCCCTGGTCCCCTGGTCCCCTGGTCCCCTGGTCCCCTGGTCCCCTGGTCCCCTGGTCCCCTGGTCCCCTGGTCCCCTGGTCCCCTGGTCCCCTGGTCCCCTGGTCCCCTGGTCCTGGCTCTGTGGTCCTTTGGTCCTTGGTCCTCTGGTGTCGTTGGTGCTCTGGTCCTCTGGTCCTTTAGTCATCTCTGGTCTTCTGGTCCTCTGGTCCCGTGGTCCTCTGGTCCCGTGGTCCCGTGGTCCTCTGGCCATGGTCGTCCTGTTTCTGAAGCCGTGCAAAGCTTGTTTCAAAGCATATGAATCCATCAAAACCGCTTCAAAGCCCCAACCCCCCTGCTAAATTGGGCCGTGCTGCTTGCGTCAACGCATATGATTCCCTTCCAAATCCATCGTGCGGCCATTGTGTTTGCCAATTGGGCTTTTTAAGCCGTGCAAGCTTCCTTCAAACACCGTATGAATCCCTTCCAAGCCCATGCGAGCATTCTGTTTGCAAATGGTTGCCGAATCCTCTCCAAACCCATCGCTCGAGCATTGTGTTAACCCCCCCCGCTTCTTTGGGTCGTGCAAGCTTGCGTCAAAGCATATGATTCCCTTCCGTTTGTTTTGTCTCATGCTGGCATTTGCAGCATTTGCAGCTTCTGAAAATTCAGGCATGCCGCTCTTTACAGTATTTGCAGCGTCTGAAAACTCAGAAATGCTGCTAGGTACAGTGTACCTCTGCAAAGTCAGGCATGCTGCTAAATGCAGTATTTGCAGAAATGCTGCTCTTTACAGTATTTGCAGCCTTTTTTCAGCCGTGCAAGCTTGCCTCAAACACCATATGAATCCCTTACAAACTCACTATGCGAGCATTCTGCTTGCAAATGGTTGCGACCTTCTCAAGCCACCGGCTTTGTGAGCCGTGCACCGTCTGAATCCCTTCCAAACCCATCGTTCGAGCTTTTGTTGCAAACTCCCCGCGCTCTTTTAGGCCGAGCAAGCATGCATCAAAGCCTCTGATTCCATTCCGTTTGTTTTGTCTCATGCTGGGATTTACAGCTTTTGCAGCTTCTGAAAATTCAGAAATGCCGCTCTTTACAGCATTTGCAGCTTCTGAACTCAGAAATGCTGCTGTTTAAAGTGTTTGCAGCTTCTATAATCGCAGCAAGGCTGCTATTTACAGTATCTGTTCTGAAAACGCAGAAATGCTGCTATTTACAGTATTTGAAGCCTCTGCAAACGCAGAAATGCTGCTATTTACAGTATTCGCAGCCGCTGCTATTTACAGTATTCGCAGCCTCTGGAAACGCAGAAACGCTGCTATTGCCGCTATTGCCGTATTTGCAGCCTGTGAGAACACAGAAATGCTGCCATTTGTAGTATTTGCCAAGCCATGTCGGGCCACACCTTTTAAAAAGACCAGGCTCGAGCCACACCTTTTTCAAAAACAAAAAACCCCCCGCCGCCCTTGAACCAAGTCTCTCCCCCTAACACACTGAAGCCCTAGTTGGTGCTCTATGTGGACTTACGAAGAAGTTTTTAAGCACGTGGCAGCCCGATATTCTTAAGACATTGAATGACCATGTTGTCTTAGGCGCCTGGGCATTCTGGTCTTTAGGGACGCTCCAGGAGTTTGTAAGGATCCCATGCCCAAACCACCCCCCCTCCCTCAGCCTCAATAACCCCAAACCCTAAACCCTCAACCCTAAACCTAAACCCTAAACTCCTAAACCTCAGACCCCTGAACCCTAAACCCTAAACCCCAAAACCCTAAAACCCTGAACCCCAAACCCTAAACCCTAAAACTCCTAAACCCTAAACTTTCAACCTTCGCGGGCGCGGATCGCATGGAATCTTGTGCTGCGCCCGGAGCCCTCAACCCTAGCAAGGGCTTCGGGCTGGTGACCTTCAAACCCTCAACCCTAAACCCAAGCCGCGCAGCCTATATCCCTAAACCCTATCCCCCATTTCATCCCTAAGCCCTCAACCCTAAACCCTCAACCCCAAACCCTAAACCCTTAACCCTCAACCCTAAACCCTAAACCCTAAACCCCAGGAATGTTTGGTGCCTTTGGTGTCGTTTCGGTTCGGTGCATCCTGAAGGAGCCACGAGCGTGTCGGCTCGTGTTACCCAAAGAGCCCAAAACCCCTTAATTTAAGGAATATACCTTAAATCATACGAAGGATCTCTATATAATTTAAGGAATATACCTTAAATCATACGAAGGATCTTAATATAATTTAAGGAGTATTCCTTAATTAAGGGGTCTTGGGTAGAAGGCTTGCGGTTCGCGGCTCGCGCCCTTCGTGCCTTGCGCGTCCCTCCACCCGCCTTGTGGTTACTCACTCGACACGGCATTCAGCACCGTTGCAAAACCTGGAATGCAGAGAAGAAGACCCTAAACCCTAAACCCTCAACCCTAAACCCTAAACCCTCAACCCTAAACCCTAACCCCTAACCCCTAAACCCTAAACCCTAAACCCTAAACAACGAGGCTCTATTGCATTTCCCAGGATCGGGACAAGGAAGGCCGCGACCGCGACAGCAGTGGAGTGACTGCTGACATGATGATCAGTGGCATCAGTGGGGGAGGGTTTAGGGTTTAGGGTTTAGGGTTTAGGGTTTAGGGTTTAGGGTTTAGGGTTTAGGGTTTAGGGTTTAGGGTTTAGGGTTTAGGGTTTAGGGTTTAGCAACTGGCAGGGCCGCAGGTGGTGAGCTGCATTGTGCAGTCGTCACTCTCAGACAACTTTCGCATTACTCCACCCCACCCCTCCGCCCCCTCCCAGGTGCTAATTTTGCCTTGGAGGTGGGATGGGTGGGTGGAGGCGTGGTGGAGCGGATGGAGGGGTGGAGGGGGTGGAGGCGTGGAGGGCGTGGAGGGGGGGGGGGGGGGGGGTGGAGGAGGAGGAGGGGTGGACGGGGGTGGTATCTTCTTTCGTTTTCGGCGTTTCCCGTTCGCCTGCGGTTCCTAGCTGGAACGGTTCGCCTGAAGGCACTTAACTAGGATGAAGGAGTTAGCAGAAACGTTTTTCCATTTTCTACCCATGCACACCCCCCTAGGCCACCTGAAGACCAAAACCATAAAAAACTAAACCTCAACCCCGAACCCACCGAAAGACCCCAACGCAAGACCCACCGAAAGAATCCATGCCATCTAACCACGCCTAACCCCATAGACAATAACATACTTAACTCCGTAGCATGCCCCACCCGATAGAAAACCGCGAACATCCAACCAGAAATCCCTAACCCTAGAAAATGGAAATGGTCTTCTTAAACAAGCTAACTATGACCGGAATAATGTTTAGGAATAAGGTTGCAACGATTGCGAGGGTAATGAAGCCACAAATTCGAGAGTAATACCTACATCACAGTAGTGGTGCATGCGTTTTGGTGCCGCTGCGACGCTCAGTCGAACGGTTTGTGATTGTCTTGCCCTCGCTCCTAGCCAAAAGCATCACCTAGTTGTCCACATGGCCGTCTTTCCGCATCAAGCGCGCCTCGGCATGCATCTGTCAATCGTCATGAAAGTTGTCCCGGCACTTACCACATTCTTCTGGACATCCACGACGGCAAGGCGGTTTTTTCTGCCAGTCCGTGCTGTCTACAGGCAGGTTCCCTTGCCGTGTCAGTCGCCTTTCGCTATGCCACAGCTTCAACGTGTTGGATGCTTGTCCAGAAACATGCTTAGATGCGCTCAGGCTGCCGCATCCCCACCAGACTACGGGAAGTTTCGAGTTGCCTTCAACTGTTATAGCAGCTGTGTCACGAGTAAAGGTGGCTGGATAGCCTGCAGTGCATGCACCGGACATGGGCAGCGTCACTTACCGGCAGGTTTGGGAGAAGGTCCGGCAGTCGCAGCTGGCAGCTATTATACTTGTGCAGCGCGGGCAGATGGTCGGCTCATTTGCTTTGGATGGAATGCAGATGGGCAGTGTGATGTGCCAGCAGATTTGGGACCCGTTTTGGCTGTCGCAGCTGGCGAGTATCATTCTTGTGCAGTGCGGACAGATGGTCGGCTCATCTGTTTTGGATCGGGTAACTCTGGGCAGTGTGATGTCCCAGCAGATTTGGGACCCGTTTTGGCTGTCGCAGCTGGCAAATATCATTCTTGTGCAGTGCGGGCAGATGGTCGGCTCATCTGTTTTGGATCGAATAGATCTGGGCAGTGTGATGTGCCAGCAGATTTGGGACCCGTTTTGGCTGTCGCAGCTGGCGAATATCATTCTTGTGCAGTGCGGGCAGATGGTCGGCTCATCTGCTTTGGATGGAATGGACCTGGGCAGTGTGATGTGCCAGCAGATTTGGGACCCGTTTTGGCTGTCGCAGCTGGCAACCAGCATACTTGTGCAGTGCGGTCAGATGGTCGGCTCATCTGCTTTGGATGGAATGCATTTGGGCAGTGTGATGTGCCAGCAGATTTGGGACCCGTTTTGGCTGTCGCAGCTGGCAACCAGCATACTTGTGCAGTGCGGTCAGATGGTCGGCTCATTTGCTTTGGATGGAATGCAGATGGGCAGTGTGATGTGCCAGCAGATTTGGGACCCGTTTTGGCTGTCGCAGCTGGCTACCAGAATACTTGTGCAGTGCGGGCAGATGGTCGGCTCATCTGCTTTGGATTGAATGCATATGGGCAGTGTGATGTGCCAACAGACTTGCGGTTCATCTGTTTTCGATGGAATGAAGCTGTGCAGTGTGATATGTAGAAAAAGTGATACTGAGCGCGAAGGTGACCTTAGCCTCTTTTGGCTATTCATAGTAGCTTCACGAGCATGGCCAGCCCCTTTGACCCCACAAGTCCAGACCCCAATGAGGGTCTTTAGGGAACTTCAAACTCTACTTTCTGCCTACTTCCGGCGTCTCCCCGATCCTCCAAGTAGACACCCTAAATCGCAAACCCTGAACCCTGAACCCTGAATAAACCCTAAACCCTAAACCCTACAGGAGCTCCTGGAGAAGGTGTGACGCCTTCACGGATACCGGACCATTGTGTGAACTGGTGCCAACGTGACCTCTTGGCTCTTCGAGTTCAGGGTTTAGGCTTTCGGGTTTAGGGTTTAGGGTTTAGGGTTTAGGGTTTAGGGTTCAGGGTTCAGGGTTCAGGGTTCAGGGTTTAGGGTTTAGGGCTATCGGACTGTAGGGGCCCAGTTCACACCATGGAGCTTGTTCTTTTGGGGGTTCCCGAAAAGATGAGAGGCCATATGATAGCAGGGACCCCGATAACATGAGTTTAGGGTTTAGGGTGTAAGGTTTAGGGTTTAGGGTTTAGGGTTTAGGGTTTAGGGTTTGCTTAAAAGTTGGAGGGCAGAGCTCTTGATCGGCTGACAAGATGAAGCTCGAACGCCCCATCAAACGCGTGCTGCCATTGCCCTAAACCCTAAACCCTACACCCGAAACCCTAAACCCTAAACCCCAAACTCTAAACCCTACTTTGTGCTGCCCCTCATGAAGTCCCCAGTCTGTCGGCCGTGCTTTTTTCCGGAGAAAACGAGCTCGACAACGCTACTTGCCATAGGCAGTCATAGATGATGGGGGCTTAGGGTTTAGGATTTTGGGTTTAGGGTGTAGGGCTTAGGGCTTGGGGTTTTGAAGGTTCGATGTACTTCAAAAGCAGCTGCCTTGCTTCCAGTTCCACTGAATCCTACAACCTGCAAGGATAGACCGGAAGACTCCCCTCAACCCCCCATGCCCACAAGCTTGCTCAAGCTTGTTAAAGAGGAACCGCGGGGGGGAAACCCTAAACCCTAAACCCAGTGTAAGGGCAGTAGCAGACCTTATAGAAGACTACTGCAATAAGCAGGAGCTTGGCGATTTAAATATCTGCGTCCCCCAGACTCAAAAGTTAAGAGTCCAGAAGGTGCCCAAACGGGATTAGGGTTTAAGAAAGGACGGTTGGTTTAGGAATCAGGGGCAGACCTCAAACTCTGAACCCTCTGGACTCCAAGCCCCCCGCAAACCCCGTAAGATCTAAATCCCCAAACCGTCCAAACCCCTTAAATCCTCTAAGCGCCCCGCAGCGCCGTGATCGGCTCGGATCTTGGGCCTTGACAGCTGACAGGGTTTAGGTGAATATCCCGTGGAAACATCGTGGTGCTTTACCGTAACTTTAGATCCTTAGCCTTGTTGGGGTTTCCTAGTAAGGCATCTAAACATTTAATTTATAGCTACCCTCCTAAGCGCAGCCAAGGAACTTAACATGGGGCTTTATGCCTTAGGCCTGAATGATACTGTACGATACGATGCTTAGAAGCTCTTTTGACAGAGTGGGTCTACTTAGTCCGAGAAACCCTATTATGATCCCCATAACCCATCTTACTAACCCTACGTACCCTAAACCCTAAACCCTAAACCCTAAACCCTAAACCCTAAACCCTAAACCCTAAACCCTAAACCCTAAACCCTAAACCACCACCTTACAAACCCTGCTTGCGAAGTCAAAAGGGCTCGACCCATGGTCGACTCCAATGGACTCTTCGCCTTCGCGGCTTGGCATGCAAAAGCCATAGGTTTAGGGTTTGGAGTTTAGGGTTTGGGGTTCAGGGTTTGGGGTTTAGGGCTTGGGGTTTAGGGTTCGGGGTTTCGGGTTTGGGGCTTGGGGTTTGGGGTTGGAGGTTTAGGGTTTGGGGTTAGGGTTCGGGGTTTCGAGTTTCGGGTTCTGGGTAGGACCCTAAACGCGAGCTATGAATCCTCAAAACCGTATACACCCGATTCTTCAGATCTTTGGCGATGTCGTTTGGGTCTGGTGGGAGGTTCGGAATTTTGGGACTCCAGAAAAACTCGGAGGTGTATAAGACTGACCCTATAGACCCACCTTCTCCGAAATTCACAAGCTTGCGCGGGAGAACCCCAAAACCCTAAACCGAGAATCCTCTTCTGGTGAGGGGGGATACTTTCGAGGGATTCCAACGCATCCTTTCTTAGGTTACAAAGCCAGCCTCAGATAGCAGGAGTTCACCTATAACGATATACATATCGATTTATACATATATATATATAGTAGTATGATCTTTAATTTAGTTCGTTTTAAACTTATTGAATATAATATAGTATTATATTATATTATACTATATAATATAATATAGTATAATATAATATAATATAATATAATATAACGAATATCATATCAGACCATACAGTACAATAGAATATGATATACTAGTATAATATTATATTATATCCCATGTAAGATAGTATGTAATACAATACAACAGGATATAATACAATATATTATGATGGATTATCACTTAATATAAGGAAAGGGATTAGAACATGGTTTAAAGAATCCAATATGGTCTAATTTATACATCGTAACTTCTGTTTTCATGTGATATAATCTAATCGACATCATGTTCTATTTTGAAATCGAACAGAATATGCCATATGTAGTATAGACTACTTAGAGTATTCCAGGATCACCTGTACCAATCTTCGCTTCCGCCGCCACCTTGCCGATTTTCGTGGATATAGAGTACAGGGCTTCAGAGTTGTGAGTTCGAGAACGAGGCCCCCCGATGTCATAGAGCAGATCAAGCCATACATCATCCGGGCCGACACCCAAAACCCTAAACCCTAAAACCCTAAAACCCTAAACCCTAAACCCTAAACACTAAACCCTAAACCCAAGTCCGCCCAACCCCACCTGGCTGAGGTCGTCAACAAGAGAGCCGGCCAACTAGGCAGGTCGACTCGGCAGACCTTAAACCCCTAAACCCTAAGCCCGAAACCCGAAACCCTAAGCCCTAAACCCTATATCCCTTCAAGCGTAAAAAGCCCGCCTCGAACCCTCGTTTAGGGTTTCCAGGAACGGATTCGGCCCCTAAAGCCGCCGAAAGCCGTAAACCCACAAAAACTCTTACACCCTGAAAAGCAGATGCACCCAATCAGCCCTGCAAACTCTCCAGCCGTAAACCCTAAGCCTAATATCTGCACCAGTAGTTGCCGCCCCCGCCCGTACCCCCCCCTCGCCCCCCGCCACCCCCACCCCAATGGCATTCCCGTTCACGGCGGGCTTAGGGGGTTAGGGTTTAGGGGCTTAGGGTTGAGGGATTTAGGGTTTAGGGTTTCCCCCCTCCCCCCCTTTCATCCATGGTGGATTTGGGGTTAGGGTTTAGAACTCGGGTTGCGGGTGATCACTCTGCCCGTGGTTCATGGCGGTTCCAGCTTTCAGGTTGTTTTGGGTTTAGGGTTTAGGGTTTAGGGCTTAGGGTTTAGGGTTTAGGGTTTAGGGTTTAGGGTTTAGGGTTTAGGGATGCCCGAAGCCCCTGGTGCCCTCAAGTGCAGCCATGTACAGGCCTGCGACTCCGTCGCTCGCGCGACGGCCGGATCTTTGTCACCGCAGCGGCCACAGCAGTCGATGTTAGGGCTGATGTAGAGTTTGGGGTTTAGGGTTTAGGGTTTAGGGTTTAGGGTTTAGGGTTTAGGGTTTAGGGTTTAGGGTTTAGGGGATCACTCGAGATGTCCTGAGCCCCCTAAAAATACCCCCTAACATGTCCCGCAGGTCCCAGGCGACATTGATCAGCATACTGCGCAGCCCTAACCCCTAAACCCTAAACCCTAAACCCTAAACCCTAAACCCTAAACCCTAAACCCTAAACCCTAAACCCTAAACCCTAAACCCAGCAATTCTGCACGCCCAGGGCACCGGCGGCCAGCTTGCAGATGTGCTGGAGAGGCCAATGGCAGTCTAGGGGTTTAGGGTTTAGGGTTTGGGGTTTAGGGTTTAGGGTTTAAGGTTTAGGGGGGGGGGGGGGGGGGGGCCTAGGGCCTTTGGCTAGGACTTTGGGGTTTCGGGTTTAGGGTTGAAGACTGAAACCCTCAGCCCCAGCCCCCCAAGTCCGAAACTCCTCAAGCCCCGAAAAAATCCTAGCTCCCACAACCCTGGGCCCCTAAACCCCAAACCCCAAACGGCAAACCCCAAACGCCAGACCCCAAACCCTAAACCTTAAACCCCAAACCGCCCAAACCCCAAACCCTAAACCCCAAACCCTAAACCTTAAACCCTAAACTCCAAACCCTAGGCCCTAAACCCCAAACCCTAAACCCTAAACCCCAAACCCTAAACCCTAAACCCTAAACCCATAAATAAGGAGTCAGGGTTTTCCAGCGGATCAGGGTCCGTGCCCTTCTCCGAGCTGTCTGCCTGGCTGAGCGATGCCCAGCAGGACAGCTAGGGGCTTAAGGTTCAGGGTTTAGGGGTTTAGGGTTTAGGGTTTAGGGGTTTAGGGTTCGGGTTTAGGGTTTAGCTTAAGGTTTAGGGGTTTAGGGATTAGGGTTTAGGGTTAGGGTTAGGGTTCAAAAAGGGTTTAGGGTTTGGATGGGTTTGGGGTGTAGTAATTAGTGGGTTTAGATGGGTCTAGGGTTTAGGGCCAAAATGACGATTTCGACCGGCCCCATGCTCCAAGAAAATCGAACCCTAGGACTGAAGAGATTTTGGGGGCTTGAAGGTTTAGGGTTTAGGGTTTAGGGTTTAGGGTTTAGGGTTTAGGGTTTAGGGTTTAGGGTTTAGGGTTTAGGGTTTAGGGTTTAGGGTTTAGGGTTCAGGTTTAGGGTTTAGGGTCTAGGGCTGTTGGGAGGCGGCGGTCGTACGCGTCAGAGATCCTGTCGCAGCGCTTGCCTCTCTGCGGCGACGAAGCACCGGCCTCGGTCCTAATTTGGAGGATTGTCACAAGGGTTTGGTCGTTAAGGTTTAGGGTGTAGGGTTTGAGGTTTAGGGTTTAGGGTTTAGGGTTTGGGGTTTTGGGGTTTAGGGTTTAGGGTTTAGGGTTTGTCATTAAGGGGTCTAAACGAGTACCGAAGTTTTTCTGTGGCCTATCTGCAATCTGCGCTCGGATTAGAAGGGGGAACTGCCCACCTGATATGGGTCTAGAGTTAGAGGAGTTTAGCTCTTTTGACTTCATAAGTCTACTTCGTACCCCCTAGAAACCCTACGATCATCCCCATCACCCACCTTACTATCCAGACTTACTAAGTCAAAACCCCAAACCCTAAACCCTAAACCCTAAAACGTAAACCGTGGCTTACAAGTAGGCCTAGAAGCATCCTAAAGCTTGGGTGTTTGGATTGCAGGGGCTTAACTTAAAGCCTGCTCCCTGTTTTCTTGTTATCCTATCGCCCAAACCCCCCAAAGTCTTTCCCAACCTGAAACAAAAATGGTCCTGCCCCAAAACTAACCCTAAACCCTCAAACCGAAACCTCTCAAAACCTGAGGCGAATTGAGGTGAGAAGCCTGGAAGCCGTCAAAAGCGGGGGGGGGGGGGGGGGGGGGAGTCTGCATTTTGAACCCGAAGCACACATAAGCACACCATAAACCCTTGGCCCCTAATTAGGGTTTAGGGTTTAGGGTTTAGGTTTTAGGGTTTAGGGTTTAGGGTTTAGGGTTTAGGGTTTAGGGTTTAGGGTTAACCCTAAACTCCAAACCCTAAACCCTGCACCGCAAGCCCAAGGTACTCGCAGTGAATGCGCGGCACACGATCCAAGACATTCTGGCCATCTTGCACCAGGCGGGCACTGCAGGGTTTGGAGTGTTGAGCTTCCCTGGGTTTTAGGGTTTAGGGTTTAGGGTTTAGGGTCTAGGGTTTAGGGTTTAGGGTTTAGGGTTTAGGACTAGCTTTGGCTTTAGGACGTTCTGTCGAGGTTGCCCTCAGAAGCAACCAGCCCCCCTCACCACCCCCTCCCCTCCATTTCTGTGTTCTGTGTGGCTTAGGATCCTCTTCGAGCAACAGTACGAGCGCAGTTCTCAACAACGAAGCGTTCAGCCTTGCTTATGCCAAGATCTTCAAAGAAACGCGAGGCTGAGGTACAATGCATCCCCCCTAAACCCTAAACCCTAAACCCTAAACCCTAAACCCGCGCCTGCAAAGTCCAGGCCACGGAGCGGGCGACAGTCCTCCACTTCGTCCTCCGTCGACACGCCGGACTGCTCAGAATTTGCGAGAGGGTTTAGGGTTTAGGGTTTAGGGTTTAGGGTTTAGGGTTTAGGGTTTAGGGTTTAGGGTTTAGGGTTCAGCGTTTAGGGTTTAGGGTTTAGGGTTTAGGGTTTAGGGTTTAGGGTTTAGGGTTTAGGGTTTAGGGTTTAGGGTTTAGGGTTTAGGGTTTGGGAGGGGGCAGGGTTAGGATTCAGGATTCATTTGGGGTTCAGGGGCCTCTCAGGGGCCTTTAGGATCTAGCATCTAGGATGGAATTTTCGGATTCAGGATTTAGGATGCAGACTTAGGATTTAGGATTCCGGGTGCCGAGATCCAAAAACGCAAGGATCTCCAGAACCATCTGTTTCTGTCCCAAAAGTCGCATTTTTCATGTCGGCTCTGGCCGAATCCTGGGTTCCCCGCAATTGTTCGTAGATAGTATCAGGATTTAGGACTTGGGGTTTCTACCAGAGTGGCACAAGAATACGAAAACTAGCCCAAACCCCACCCGACCCCTTGTGGACGGTGCCGAGTCAAGTAAGGGAAATGAGTTTTTAATTCGAATGAAAGGGATGCTGGGAGGGTGGGGTGACGCCCATCGTGACGTAAAAATACGCCTAGCAAATCGACAGCTCAGGCCAGTCGTAACCCCTAAACCCCTAAACCCCTAAACCCCAAAACCCCAAAACCCCAAAACCCCAAAACCCCAAAACCCCAAAACCCTAAGCCGATGTCCGTTGCTTGCGGACCGAAATGGCCCGTGTTATGAATACTTTGACAACAACAACCACCTCATCGTCATTATTGTTGGCTATTTGGACCCGCTATTCCATCACGCCTGGGACCTTCTGCACGCAGAAAAGTCATACATGTGGGGCCTATGCACTGGCGCGCGGTCCCTTTCTGCCAGAAGTTTCCCAATAACTCAGCATGTTACATGTTCCTGGTCAATCTCCATTCAGAGAGAATGACCAGAAACACAAGCTCGAGTCCAAAAGCAGTCATGGAAGAACGCTTGGAGCTGGCTTCCGAGTTTCCGTTTATAGATTCAAGAAAGCACCGAAGTTTCCTAGGGAGCTCCCGGATCTTCCCAAACAGCCTCCAAAGCCAAGAGTACCTCATGGGGCCTGGAACACAGACGGCAACCCTTGCTATGACGACCCCTACCAGAGGAAGCCTACAACCTCAACCCCCTAAACCTTAATTCGCCCAAAACCCCTAAACCCCTACATCCCCCAAAGCCGCAAACGCCCGAACCTTGAACCTTGAAGCGTCGAACCTACATGGGTTGGGGTAAAAAAGGCAATACCATCATATAGACACCAAAATATTAACTGCACAACAAGATAGATTCCAAGAAGAGCATTATGAACGGTAGTGTAAGCCTTAAACCCTAAACCCCAAGCCCCGAAGCCCCGTAACCGTAAGCGGGTACTAGTTTGGATCCCTGGAGTTTCAGGGAGTTGGGCTCGGGGCTGCAGAGCTTGGGGTGGTGCGTTTGGGCTTCAGAACTTTTCAAGTTTCAGGGTTTATGGTTTAGGCTTTAGGGTTTAGGGTTTAGGGTTCTGAAACTCAAAGACCCTAAATCCTAAAACCCAAAAGTCCTTGGTAATCAAGAGATGCCTTCTCTAAGCCCGTTTCTATGACTGTTATAAAGAGGGTTTGGGGAGCAGAGAAACACCTTGAAACCCCATACCTGCTATTTGCTTAAGAACCACCCAAAAACATGAAGCATATTCTTCATTGGGGTTGTTGGTTGTTTTCTTTCTTTCGTTTTGTTTACTTTCTGAGTACATCTTTGGCCGAGGCCGACGCGGTCAACATCAAAGCGGCCGATTGCAGGTGGGACCGTCATGCCGTACTAGGCCTTACCAGGGCACGAGGGAACTAGGCACCGTAATTTTCCCCCGTGCACCCAGAGAGTACCTAAATTCCCTCATGCCCTACAGAGAACCACCAAGAGGATGCCGCAAAGGTTCACAAGGTCAGGGCCTTGGCGCAGTTGGGTGTATGGGTTAAGCGTTTTTAGCGTTTAGGGTTTAGGGTTTGGAGAGTTTTTGCCAATGACAGAGGCGAAAAACAAACGATGTTTGAGGCCGCCTCCCTTTTGTCAAAAGGTATCCAGGAAACCTTAAGCTACCCTACAACCCTAAACCGCATTCCCGAAACCCCAAACCCTACTTTCACCCTAAACTCTAAACCCTAAACCCTAAACCCTAAGCCTATTCGTATATTGGGCTGTCGAGGCGTAGAGCACGGATGGGTTTAGGGTTTAGGGGCTTGGGGCTTAAGGCTTTGGGCTTAAAATCCTAAACCCTAAACCCTAAACCCTGAACCCTACGGGCTCAGGGTGAGGGTTTTGGATGGAGGTTTGTAGAAATTCCACTCTGGGCTTCAGGGCTTGAGTCCCTGAGCTTCCTAAGCCCCTGAAGTCCGAAACCCCTACACAAAACTCTAGGTTGATAGGTTTCAGGCTTAGGGTGTAGGAGTATGAGTTTAGGGCTTAGGGCTCAGGGCTTAGGGCTTAGGGCTTAGGGTTGAGGGTTTAGGGTTTAGGGCTTAGGGTTTAGGGTTTAGGGTTTAGGGTTTAGGGTTTAGGGTTTGGGCCTTGCTGAAGTTTCGCCACCGAAAGGCACCACTGGACCAAATCCAGAAGCCCAGAAACCCTGACCCTGTGGTATCGCAAGAAGACAAGCAGGATGAGTTGAGGGTTTAGGGTTTAGGGTTTAGGGTTTAGGGTTTAGGGTTTAGGGTTTAGGGTTTAGGGTTTAGGGTTTAGGGTTTAGGGTTTAGGGTTTAGGGCATGTCATGAAAGCAAAACCTTCCAGAGTCGTCAACAATACGCAAGGGTTTTGGGGGTTCAGCGTGTTTCCAGGTTTCCAGCAAGGGCGACCCCTGCGCGGCAGCCGCTCAGCAGCCGAAGGCACGCAACGGGCTCCTGGACTTTCAGGCTTAGCGGGGGGGGGGAGGGCGAGAGCGAGCGCGAGTGTGAGACGGAGTGCGAGCGCGAGCGCGAGAGCGGTAGCGGCGCTAGCGAGAGAGCGGCGGCGGGAGTGCGAGAGCGAGAGAGAGCTAGCAAGGGAGGGAAGGACGGCAAGAGTTCCCAGGGCTGAGAAGGGCCTAGATGAGAGAGTGAGATAAAGCCCCCAGGCCTCTCCGGCGCAGAATCTCCATAGGTAGGCAGTTGGAGCCAAGGAACCAGATTTGGCGGCCCCAAGACTTTGGTTACGGCTCAAAGTGTCCGCTTCATGCCTCTGAAAGTGCTGCAGCTCCTCAGAGGCTTGGGCTACCAGGTTAGTCTGTGACAGGCGAGACATGAAGCTGACAGGAAGCAATGCTTGGGGCATCTGCAGTGGCTTCCGCTCGGCGAGAGCTGGGTTCAAAGTGCCAGCTGCCGATGTCCTGGAGTCCAGCGCGATGACGGGCTTCCTGCAAGGCTTTTCGACAGATTGTGTCTTCCTGCGATGATGCTAGTAGTTTCAGTTCTCCTTCTCCTCGTTATCCGCCCCACCGTTCGTGCTAACCTCTTTCTTTGCACACTCCACGGCCAAACCCATCACACAGTCGTGAGTCAGCATCATCACCAAGAGCTGGTTTAGGGCGCCAAGATCAGTGGAATATTCAGGCGTGCGCGTGCCTGTGGACAGACATTCCTCAGCAGGGTTGACCTAGTGCAGTTCTTTATGGCCCACCAGTGGCGCTCCCTTGAAGATCGCCTTGAATAGCGCCACAGAACTTCGCTAAAGCACGCGGGGAAGATCCATCCAAGACAGGGGCACGTCCCGTCGACAGGCACGGCTTAGGGCAGCCCAGCTTTTCCAGCCGGCCGATTCAGGCTATGGCTTGGGGCAGGGGAACATCAGAAACATAAGCATTTGAATGCGAGCACGGGAGGCACCAGACAAAACCTTGTAGCCAACTTCAACACAACAATGTCGACATTAAACTGAGGCACGAAATGATGTCCAACTGCAGCGTACAGCAATGTCGATACAAGGGTGATTTCGAAGGTTGGCCCTGCACGCCCGGAGGTTGTTACTCACAGCTTTACTTGCTTGGCGAGGACAAGGTGTCTTCCCACAACTAGCTAACGATTGCGTCGCTGTTTGAATGTTTCTGCTCGCAGCACTTGAGAAGGGCTCGTGGTCGAGGATGCACAACACGGCGAAGAGTAAAAAGGTCAGTTTCTAGGCCTTGTTTCTTTATGCTGGTCACACATCATCAGCAGTGCAAGAGCTTGTTTCGCTGAATGGAAGCACAGCCTTCGCCTCATTCGGTCTGGGATCCCTGACTCTTGTCCACGAACCCTGGCACCTTCTCATCAAGAACGCTTCGGGAACCAAGTATTTGGGAGCCAAAAGATTATTCGACAGGGGCTTACTGTAGGAGCTCTGCAGGCTTCTTCCATTGGGTTGAGGGGCCTAATTACAGGCCGGGTGTCCAGCACACTCCCGGGAGCAAACTGAACCCACTGTACAAGAATGCCACCTAGATTCTGTCATCTCTAGACATTGGTGGACGTGGCGTTGGCTCATTTGGAAGCCGTGCCCCGTCGACGGGACGTGCCCCCGTCTAGGCTGGATCTTCCCCGCGTGCTTTAGCGAAGTTCTGTGGCGCTATTCAAGCCGATCTTCAAGGGAGCACCACTGGTGGGCCACAAAGAACTGCACAGTGGTTTGGGCGGTGGCCCGTGAAAGCTCACAGCGGCGGGGAAAAAGAAACCACCAATGAAAATTGCTGGACTGCATTGGAAACATGTGCCTTCGCGTAGCATGCCGCCCCCCCCTCCCCATCACACCCACCCCTGGGTGGGTCGAGGCGCCGTTCAGGAGTTGCGTTGTTGCATCCAGGTGCTGCGAGGCCGATGAGGCTGCTCACAAGGCCATAGTGGGGGAGGGGAAGGAGTTTAGGGCTTGGGGTTAGGGATCGTAGGTCTGCTCTTGAGATCTGAAGGGTGGAGGGTTTCAGGGTTTAGGGTCGAGTTAAGGAGAGATTACGATGTCAGGATGCGTTTGGAGGTTGCGTGTTTCAGGGCGCATTCCCAGTGCTGATGGCATCGGGCGCAAGATGGCCGCCTCTTGTGGCAGTTCATTGTGATTTTGAGTGGCAGGCCCGTGAGCTCGAGGTTTTCCTAGATCGCCCAAGGCCGTTCAGACGCAGCCCCACCCCGCCAGCGGCTTCCCGCCTCCCAGAACTGGGACACAGCCGTTCCGAACTGCGTCCTAACCCTAAACTGCCGAGCCACTCCGAGAACGCATGCCATGGCCGACTCGGAGCTGCTGTCATGACGGGTTTGGTGTTGACAGCTTCGCATAGGCTCCTACAGCAGCTCAGAGGGACATTCTGGGCACCGCCGTGCAGGACACCTTGGCGCTGTACTGAAAAGTTGCATGAGTTTGGAAGGGGTGTGGATTTCTGGTTTCCAGGTTTTAGGGCTTAGATGGGTTACCTGACTTATTAGCCATGAAATTAGATAGTGCATATGTCGTTTAGTGTCTGTCCCTCTCCCTCTCTCGCTCTCTCCCTCACCCGCCCGTGGTTCCGCGCTGATCGGTGGCGCCGACGCGAAACCTGTTAGCTCGTAGGGCGCTTGGAATTCTAGGACTGAGATTTTTTGTCCTAGGGTTCCAGCAGATCATCGAGCGGATCAGTGACCTGCAGGAAGGGCAGCCATGGCTGGCTCGCATGTAGGTCCGCCCCACACACCCGACCGTGACGTCAGCCAATGCAGCTAGTTCCAAGACAAGGCAATTTGCCGCAACATCACGGAACGCAATGTGCGCCTCATCGAAAGGCTGCAGTGGGAACTGCACGTTTTCGGTCTTCACCTTGCATGAAAGAGAGAGAGAGAGAGAGAGAGAGGGAGAGAGAGATAGACAGAGAAAGACAGCTTAGAGAGATGTTGAAAGAATTTAGGTCAGGCAGCTTTACCTTTGCACGGACAACACTGTACATATGAACTTTCAAGTTCAAGACGTCGATAAGGTAGCGCCTTGGGAAACCTGAAGCTGTCTAGGGTTCAGAGTTTAGGGTACCCTAAACCCTAAACCCTAAACCCTAAACCCTAAACCCTAAACCCTAAACCCTAAACCCTAAACCCTAAACCCTACACCTTCACAGGGCCTTTGGGATCGCCTCGGCCCAGGGCACAAACGAGCACCGCCAGCCCGCCGGCGCCAAGCTCTTCGACGCTACGAGCTTGCCCTGCCTAGCCTCTCAGGAATGAGTGGGTTTGGGGTTTAGGGTTTGGGGTTTAGGGTTTAGGGTTTGGGGTTTAGGGTTTCGGGTTTAGCGTTTGGGGTTTGGGGGTTTTAGGTTGAGGGTTCAGGGTTTTGGGGGTAGCTGCTGCAAGACATATGTATGGTTTGGGGATTTGGGTGCTGGAAGATTTCCCCCACAATCAAGGGTTCCGAGGGGTAGGTCGATGTTGCCACGCGGCGCCAGAGATGTGGACCATGGTTTTGGTTCTCGAGGCCTGCGCGCACATTCTCGTGGGAAATTCGATCGCGCTCTCGCCTAGGTAGCCAGGCTCTGCTGCGCTCGCTGTGCTCGAAGCTGTTGTCACTTAAGGTTTGGGGCTTGGGGCTTAGGGCTTCGGGCTTAGGGCTTTGGGCTTTAGGGCTTAGGGCTTAGAGCTTAGGGCTTAGGGTTTACAAGCGAGTTGCGAACTGTCGTCACTTTCGGACGTCTCGGTTCACCTAGTCTCTCACAGGTCCGGGTCTACGTTGGCATAATCTTTCAATGAGCCGCGGAGAGAATATCCTTTTCATGGGGCTTCAATCTACCTCTTAGTACCAAAACTGGGGTCTTATCTTGGCACGTCTGGTGGTTTCATTCCTTTCACCTTCATTTCCAAGTCTATGAATCATCAACTGTGGGTTTCGTTCGCCAAAATCCCCAGTGACAATAGTAAGCTCACTTGTGTCCTTGTAGTTTCTTACTAAGCACCCTAAGAAACCCTACTAAACCCTGCACAAACCTACTCCACCCAAACCCTAAACCCTTCTAAACTCTTTCCTAAACCCTACTACACCCAACTACACCCCACTAAACCCTACTAAACCCTAGTACACCCTAGTAAACCCTAGTAACCCTAAACCCCAGACCTTAAACCCTACTAACCCTAAACCCTAAATCCAAGAACCCCTAAACCCTGAACCCCAGAGTCCAGTCGCCCTAAACCCTGAACCCTGAACCCTAAACCCTAAACCCTAAACCCTAAACCCTAAACCTCAAGCCCTTTGAAGCGCTGAAAGGCCCAGGTGCGCCCGCAGTGCCAGAGCCGGAGGACTACGCGGCACCCTGGGAGGTGCAGGAGGAGAGAGGGCTTTGGGGGCTTTGGGGGGTTTAGGGTTTAGGGTGTTGAGAGTTTAGGGTTTAGGGTGTAGGGTGTTTAGGGTTTAGGGTGTTTAGGGTTTAGGGTGTTTAGGGTTTAGGGTGTTTAGGGTTTAGGGTTTAGGGTTTAGGGGCCTTGGGGGGTTTGTGCATGTCTTTGCTGTTGACGATTTAGGTTGGAGGGTTTTAGGGTTTTGGGGCTCAGGTTGTCGGGGTATCTTCCCTAAACTTTGTCATAACACGGGGGGGGGGGGGGTAACATTTTATGTTTATAAGGCTACTAGAACTCAATAAGGAATAGAAAATACAATGCTTCATACGATCCCAACCATGAACTAGTAAACCCTCTCCATCGCATGTATATTCAAATGCTATTGACTTTCCGGGCCCTCTCGGGACCAACAACCGGGCCCTGGGGGGTTTAGGGTTCAGGGTTTAGGGTTTAGGGTTTTAGGTTTAGGGTTTAGGGTTTAGGGTTTAGGGTTTAGGGTTTAGGGTTTAGGGTTTAGGGTTTAGGGTTTAGGGTTTAGGGGGCCAATGTTACTAGCTTAACAGGGCTGCGGGGGACCAAAGAATGGTGAGCAACTGAAACGTAAAGGGTGAATGAAGACCCTTTCTTTTGTTCATGCTATGGGATTCTTTGGGCGGGTGGGCTTTTGTCGAAGTCTATGCTCTGCACGTCCGAGTGAAAATGCCCGATCTGGAGCTGCTGAACCCTAAGCCCTAAACCCTAAACCCTAAGCCCTAAGCCCTAAATCCTAAACCCTAAACCCTAAGCCCTAAACCCTAAATCCTAAACCCTAAACCCTAAACCCTAAACCCCTCCCCCCCCCCCCCCCCCCCCCCCCAACGAAGATTCCTGGGAAGGAGTCCGGAGAGGCGGTCGGCTCGGACGGGCTCAGGGCTCAGGCTCTTGATGAGGTGTTTGGGTGTTGGGTGTTGGGGCTCGGGGTTTAGGGTTTAGGGTTTAGGATTTAGGGTTTTGGGTTTAGGGTTTAGGGTTTAGGATTCAGGGTTTAGGGTTAAGGGTTTTGGGGGTTTAGGATTTAGGGTTCTAGGCTTTAGGATTGGGTTTTTTCTTGGCGGCTTTCGGGTTTTCAAGATTTATGGATCAAGGCATAGGGTTTAGGATTCAAGGTTTTGGGCTTAAACCCTAAACCCTAAACCCTAAACCCTAAACCCTAAACCCTAAACCCTAAACCCTAAACCCTAAACCCTAAACCCTAAACCCTAAACCCTAAACCCTAAACCCTAAACCCTAAACCCTAAACCCTAAACCAAATCTGGTTGGCATCCAGACCTCGGGGCTACGGCTACGGGGCTATACCCTAGATCCTGAGGGCTTGACTCTAGAACCAAGGCCCCAGAAGCCTAGGCTGGAAAGGGTCTAGGGGCCTAGAGGTCTAGGATTTAGCTATCATCTCCTCAACCAATATGTCTTCAATTCAGTTTAATTTAAGCTTCCTTAGATATCTTGTTTGGCAACTTCGAGCGGAATCGGATTCCCTTCGGGGATCATCCGATAAAATTGGAGAAGATTAGCATGGCCCACATGTGAAACAAGTTGTTTACACTAGGCTTTGGAAAATGCTACATGCTTTTCTGGTCCGGTGAGGCAACTGCTAACCTTTCGTTTTAAGCCAGTTTGTTGGCGCTGGTGCCTCAGGACGTGCCCTGAAAATTTAGGAAGGGCTGAGGGTCTGGGGGGGGAGGGGAGGGGGGAGGGGGTGGAATCTTTTAGGATTCCTTCCACGCCTGCCCCCTGAACTTCTACACCGCTATGTCGCCCCTGAACCTCTAAAACCCTAAACCCCTGAACCCGCTTAAACCCGTAAACCTTAAACCCTAAACCCCTAAACCTTCAACCCTAAACCCCTAAACCCTAAACCCCTAAACCATAAACCCCTGAATCCCTAAACCCCGAACCTAAACCCCTGCATCCCGAAACCCCTAAACCCCTAAACCCTAAACCCCTAAACCCCCTAAACCCCGAAACCCCTAAGCCCTAAATCTTCATGGAGCCCTCCCTCTCCCAACTGAACCCTAAACCTAAACCCCGAAACCTAAACCCTAAACCCCGAAACCTAAACCCCTAAACCCTAAACCCCTAAACCCTAAACCCTAAACCCCTAAACCCTAAACCCTAAACCCTTAAACCTCTAAGCCCTACCTCCCTATCCCAACTGAGGCCTGCCACGGACGCCCCTAGCGCACCGTGGGCTGCACTGTGCCATTCCGGGCGCTTGCAGGGTTTAGGGTTTAGGGTTTGGGGTTTGGGGTTTAGGGTTTAGGGTTTAGGGTTTAGGGTTTAGGGTTTAGGGTTTAGAGTTTAGGGTTTAGGGTTTAGGGTTTAGGGTTTAGGGCTTCAGTGATGTGATACCGACATCGTGGCTGCAATTTAGGGCGTCAAGGATTCTTTTGCCCCGAAGCGGTTTCTCCCACTAAACCCTAAACCCTAAACCCTAAAGCCTAAACCCTAAACCCTAAACCCTATAAACCCTAAGAAGAGTTAGCGCTTCTTTGGTGATCCCCTCCTCATCCCCTTGACTCAGGGGATGAAGACTGGTAGCCCTAAGCGCACTAAGGTTGTACCCCTAAAGGTTCCCTTTACTATACTCCTAATTTCCTAGGTGGGATAAGGGGGACCCTTAAAAGGGAACAACTGCTTAACCCTCTTCTGGCTCTCTTAACAAGGGACCTTATTCAGAGGGTCTATATCCCCAAGGGTCCCCCTAATCCTATCCCCTATACCCTAAACCCTAAACCCTAAACCCTAAACCCTAAACCCTAAACCCTAATTGTGGCCTTTCGAATCCTTTAGGGATTCTTAGAAAGGAACCCCAAAACCCAAGTGTACAGCCGTAAGGGTCCAAAATAGAACCCCTAGATTGACCTGAAACCCCCCAAAAACTCTCCCTAAACCCTAAACCCTAAACCCTAAACCCTAAACCCTAAACCCTAAACCCTAAACCCTAAACCCTAAACCCTAAACCCTAAACCCTAAACCCTACACTCACAGATGGAACACTCCCAACCTAAGCGCCCTGAATCCACCGTAAACCCCCAAAACTCCAAGCAAAGAGTTCCTCAAATCAGGCCCTGAACCCACAAACCCTAAACCGTAAACCCTTCAAAACTCCAAGCGTAGAGTTCCTAAGTTAGGCCGAGACCCAGCCGGTGCAGATGAGTGGATGGGCCGGAAACCTCAGCACTGCGGAGTGTTTAGGGTTTTGGGTTTAGGGTTTAGGGTTTAGGGGTAGTAACAGGGGTCATTTGCTCTCCTAGCATAAGGACCCCACAACCGGCTTGGGTCCATGCTTCTGGGAGTTGAGGGGTTTAGGGTTTGGGCTCTAGGGTTGAAGGCTCATGCGGGCTATTCGTCCACGGATAGTTAGTTGGACGTGTGGTTATCTGTACCGTCATTCAGGCCATACTGGGTAATAGCAGCAGCCATCCTTCTTCTCACCCCACTTGAAGCTACCCATGACCCTTCAAATAGCTGCTTGCCCCGAAACCCTTAGCCCTAAACCCTTTTTCCCTAAGCTTTCAGTCGTGACTCTGGGCAGAGCTTCAGAAGGGGCTCAGGGCTTTGATTTCGGATCGCGAGTTGGGGGTAGGCTTTGGGGTTTGGGGCTTAGGTTTGAGGGTTTACGGCTTAAGGAAGGGTTTAAGTTTAAGGTGGAGGTTGAGGTTTAATGGCTGAGGGTTCAAGGGATTGGGGTCTAGGGGCTTGAGGGTTTAGGGTTTAGGGCTCGGCCGCGTCCTGGCCCCGAACGGCACTAGGCATACCTAGAACAAACCTGAAAATAGTTAAGCAGCAGAAATCATCGTAGATTCTGGGTATACTTGCCCTGTTTTCAGGGCGTCCAGGCTTCTCTTAGGCACGGTTTGCAGGCCTCTTCGTCCCTGAGACCCATTAAACCCTAAGCCCGAAGCCCACCTTGCCATTCGAGAAGAGCCGGGACTTTCCCCGATGCACCCAGAGGCTCCAATAGCCTTTAATTAAGGAAGATACCTAAAATTATAATAGGATCCCTAATATGATTTAAGGTATAATCCTTAATTAAGGGATCTTGGAGTCTCTGGGCACAGCGCGACTTGCCTCAACACTGTCAAACGTGAAGCGCAGTGAAGTCTGCCGGCTTCTTGGCAGACGCAGACATCACCCTAAACCCTAAACCCTAAACCCTAAACCCTAAACCCTAAACCCTAAACCCTGTTCCCGTCCGGGCGTTTCCGGCCTTCGTCCGCGGACCTCAAGACATCGCGCCGGCGTCGGAGCGCCAAACTGCTGGGGTTCAGGGTTTTGGGTTTTGGGTTTTTGGGTGTAGGGTGTAGGGTTTAGGGTTTAGGGTTTAGGGCTGCTGGGGGTCAGGGTTTAGGGTTTTGGGTGTAGGGTGCAGGGTTTAGGGTTTAGGGTTGAGGTGAAAGCCCGAAACTTTAGCAAGACCCAAGGAACCCCCAGGCTTGCTCTCACGTAGTTTACTTAGTAGCTGAATGAGCACACTTGACACTTTTTGGGGATACCTAGAATCCCCTGTAGAACTGAAAGTGTACTCTGCTTTGGGACTTATGAACTCAGAGGGATTAGGGGCCTGTATAGTCCCTTTAAGGGTACACCCTAAACCCTAAACCCGAAACCCTAAACCCTAAACCCTAAACCCTAAACCCTAAACCCTACACATAGGGCACTCCCTACTAAGAACCAGGGCGTCTCAGCTTTATCTTCAAGGCCATCAGGGCTGCCCCGGAAGCGCTCCGGCTTTGTCCTTGTCGCCCTGCTGAGTTTTTGAGAACTAAGCCCTAAACCCCCAACCCCAACCCTAAACCCTAAACCCTAAACCCTCAGTCAGCAGCAGCAGCAGCAACTTCAAATCCTCACTGCCATCCAAAGGAGTGCCGCGGCGTGCAGTGGTTCCATCCAGAAACACAGGACCGACGTCGACAAAGAACTTGCATTTGTGTATGTTTCGTTCAACGGAAGAGCAATCCAACCAGGTTAGAAAGCCAAGATGCCCAGCAGTACCCTCATTCTTTTTTGGGGGGGCGGGAGGGGGGGTTTAGGTTCCCTTATAAACCCCTTTAAGCAGAAAACTGGGCACCCTTGTCGAACCCTAGGTTTACCGGGCAACTTAGCTACTCTTCGCGATAAGCAAAGCTCAGGGCTTTGGGCTTGTCAGCACGTTAACAGGAACTCCCAGTCCCTGTATTCCTTACAGGACCCTTAGAAGAGACTCCTATTTTCAGAGATTCAGAGAAGCCCGCAAACCCTAAACCATAAGCACTGCTTTCTTGCAGGAGTGTTTCAATGAGGGCGACCGCAGCAGCGGTTGGCCATACCGGCATAGTTTGGGAGGAAGTTGGGGTTTAGGGGTTTAGGGTTTAGGGTTTAGGGGTTTAGGGTTTAGGGTTGGTTTGAGTTTGGCAACCCTAAACCCTAAGCACTTGCTTCAAAAATGCTTAAAGCATCCCTGACCTGACATTGGGGTGACCACCGGGAGGGGGGGGCGGGGGGGGGGGGGGGGGGGGGGGGGTTGAAATAAACCGTAAACCAACCCCCAACTACCAGGAGCCTCAGCAACCCCAAAACATAAATGCGCCAGCATGATCCACACTGCAGAGGTTATAAGAGCGCACCAACGAACCAACTGACGACGTTAGTTAGGGTTTAGGGTTTAGGGTTTGGGGTTTAGGGTTTAGGGTTTAGGGTTTAGGGTTTAGGGTTCAAAACCCGCGCAACTTTGTGCCAGGTGCAAGTACCTGGGGGACGACGATCGGCCCTGGTACTGGCACGAGGCAAAGTCCATTGCTTGCACCACCTGTCTCGGTGCCGGGTTTGGGGTTTAGGGTTTAGGGTTTAGGGTTTATTCATCTCCCCCCCCCCCCGCCCCAGGCTTTAAAATTCAGAACCCCCACCTCCCGTTCTCTTGGGATGGTTACGACATGTTCGCGCGGGGAACCTGCTGGGAGTTTGTTGTACATGGAGGAAGGCTGTCAGGGAGCAGTTCAAGTCTATGTTCAACCCTAAACCCACTAAAGCCCCTACACCTTGATTAAGCCCCGAACCGCTTTAACCACTAAACCCTGAGCCCTAAACCTACTGTTTGCTTAAGAACCCCCGCCCGAAAATAAGAGAAAACCCTAGATTACCCTCAGAAGGAAGAACATTTTTTACTTTTGCATACAAATACATATCAAAAACAAACCCTACCCCAAACACGAAAACCCCGCCAACAAAAACCCTAGGCCTTGTTTAAGACAGAGAGCAAACCAAACCCTAATTGAAGAAGGAAGGCTGCAGCCCGCCCTAAACCCTAAAGCTCTATTGGGGCAGGCGGGTGTCGAGTGCTCAGCGAGACCAGGGCAGGCTCTGCTGGGCTGCAGAGCCTGCCAACCGCACCCCTGAGGGGTCGCCAATCTAGAGTCGCCTAGCATAGTCACTTTAGATATTTTAGAACCCTAAAATGTTGGGGGGAGAGTCCTTTGCCTTTAAACGGATCTGGACCTGGGAGCCGAAAGTCCCGGAGGGAGCCCTGGGAGGCCTCGGAGGCCCTGACAGCTGGAATTTTCTATCGGGGGGCCCTTCGGCCCAGACCGTCCCCTGCGCAAAAACCTGAGGGGGGGGGGGGGGGGGGGGGGGGGTGGCTCTTTAGCCAATCGCAAACGTCCCAAGCATTCTCAGTCTTCTAACCGAAATGTCCTCTGAACTGTTCGATGTGCGAGTTGTGAATGCTTGGCTTGGCTCGGGCTGGCTCCCGCAGTGAGTTGTGATTGGGTGGCCTTGGGGTGGACATGTCTTCACACTATTGCGTTCAGCTGACCCGTGCTACACCCTAAACCCTAAGCCCTAAGCCCTAAACCCTAAACCCTAAACCCTAAACCCTAAACCCTAAACCCTAAACCCTAAACCCTAAACCCTAAACCCTAAACCCTAAACCCTAAACCAATCAATTGCCAGGCCACCGGGCGCTTCTTTCTGACCTGATGCGACGAGGTGGAGAGGGGGGAAGTGTCGGATGCACACTGAACCCACGAAAATGGGGGTTTCTGAGACTAGGGGCTACCTTATTGGGGTCCTTATCATAAAGGAATCCTACTGCTTGGGGGGTCGATATTATGGGCCCTCTAGTTTCGTCAGCCCCCGAATCGAGCAGGCAGCTCATCTCGCCATGGTGAGCGAGTGCCGAAGCCATCTCCTGCCCAGCCAGAAGGAGTGGCAGAGTCTGAAGCAGACCCGCTACATCATGAAGGGACGTGACTTTCCCTAAACCCTAAACTTCCCTAAACCCTAAACCCTGCTGCAGAAGCTGGTTTGTTGAGTTTTTTGACACTCCATGCGGTGCACTGAAACTCAGCCTTGTACAATGTTGTGGATTTCTGACTGACTCTTCACAGGTGGTGCTGGTAGGTCGATGCTTTGCTCCGAGTGCTTGAAACGGAACTGTCATAGACTACTAGTTGCTTAAGAACCCTCAACAGACAAATGAAAGACAAACATCCCTATTGCGCCCTTATCAGGATGAATAGTTTTAATTTTTGGAGGAGTAGTAGAGCGCATTTCGTTTCTGTGTTCGCACAGCTCGGAGCGATGGGTTGAGCGCTGCTTTGGACAAGTGGGAGAGCTCCCGCACCCTCGTAGCCGTCCCTAAAGCGGTAGCGGGACAGTGGCAAGGAACACGCAGACCCTCCATACGTGCCTTCTCTTTGGTCTTTAGGGCATGGACCATTCAGGGGATAGGATTAGGGGGACTTTTTGGGTATATAGACCCTCTGAATAAGATCCCTAAGCGTGTTCAGAAGGGATCCCTTTTAAGGATCCCCCTTATCCTACCCAGGGCCATTGGGGCGGGTAGTGCGGCGGCTCTGTGGCACAAAGGTTGCCGGTCATCCGACTTTGCGCAGATGCCACTGGCTTAAAACCGGCGAGTTTGGGACAAAAAAAATCGGCACAGCTTGCCTTTTTCGGGCAGTGCTGGGGGGTCTCGGGCCTCAGCAGAACCCCTGCAAGATGGCCCTCGGGAAATCCGCTGAAGTGGACTAGCTTGGGGGGGGGGGGGGATGATGTGTTGATTTCGTGCTGTGTGGTGAAACACGAAGGTCAGGCATAATGTCAAGCAAGCAAGACAAACAAACGAACCCTAAACCCTAAGGCCCTTAGCCCACCAAGTTCGTCCGCGCAGCCTTTGCGCTGGTCGCCAAGACCATCTGCACCAAGTTCGAGACTGGCTTCTGACACCGACCGAATCCCCCCCCTCACCCAAACCCAAGAAATTATCCTATGCCATAAACCCAAAACCTTCACCCAAACCCTATACCCTATGCCCTAAACCCGAAAACCGAAGCCCTAACCCCAAAAACCCTAAACACTCAAACCGACAACCCGAAACAAACCCTGTAAACCCAAGGGAAAACCCACAAAACCTTGACAACCCTAAGCCCTAAACCCCAAACCCCACAGCCCAAAAACCCTCGACCCTCGACGGGTGTTTCAGGTTTGCATGTGCTGCGCATCGTCCTTCCCTATGTGCACCACATTCTATCTACATCAAAGAGTTCACGAACTGAGGCTTTGCGCGCGTGTTCACACCCAGAACACGCTTGCCCTACATCCGTCCATTGCTTCCACTTGTCATTACGCACCCCAGTCCTACAGCCGTAAGCCCTGAATCCCAATCCCCGAAACTGACCCTTCAGAACATCGTGTGCATTTCAGCTTTTTTGGAGGTGGGTTTCAGGTGTTTTTTCCAGGTTTTTTTTTTTTTTTTTTTCCGAGGCTGTTGTTTAAAGTCTATGGCCAGGTGTGGCCTTTGAGGCCCAATCCTATAGCCTTAAACCTATGTGCTCAGCATGTACCCCTTGTGTAGTGTTATAGAGAGGCGTAGAGGCGTAGAGCCTCCTACAAAAGCCCTCCGGAAAAACGCCTTGCGTGAGCGCGCAGGTGAAAGAGATACAAGTAGAGAGACGAGAAAATCCCGAAGCCCTGCCCTGGGTGCGCGGACGCGCTCATCAAGGAAGCTGCGGAGGTCGAGGTAGTCGATCGGCGCCCGTCATTTTCACCATTTCCACCATTCCCCCCTTTTCCGCCAGCACTAGATCTTCTTTCATTCCGGCCATTTCCACCATTCCCCCCCTTAGCTTGTAGGGTTTCGCCCTGCCACACTTCTTACGGCTGCGAAGTTGCAGACTCTGCTGTTTTGTGCTTCGGCGCCATGGAATGTAATCTGCGCATCTGGAAGTTGTTGCCCTGCTCCCTAGAGCCCGGGTTCAGAGTGCAGAGGGATGTTATCTGATCCCGCGCTGGCTCCTTGTTTGAGTTTGCTACGCCGCCTTGAACCCAGAACGTTGCGGCACTTGTGTGATTTGGCGTTCACTCTTAAAAGCCGACGCATGGAGTTTGGCAGCCCTCAAGTATAAACAGAATGTGACAAGAAAAAACATGTTTGTCAGGGTCATCACACGGAGCAAAAGGGCTTTTTTAGAGACGCCAACGTCCTTATATATAGAGCAGGTGAAGGCTTCATAAATTAGGGATTTAATAGGGTTTCGGATTTTCGGGTTGAGCTGCTACAGTATATTTCAGATAGGAAGCTCCCGCCTTAGCACCTTCCCACTTGTGTGCTCGGACTTGACCTCAGCCAAATCATCGTGTGTCCTCATCAAGTCCTCCGCTTGCTTCTTCACGGTGGTCAGGGCCCTTATTATATGAGCAGGGTTTAGGCAGCACAGGGTCCACACGCACACGACCACCGTGTGAAGACATTGTTGTAAAGTGAATTCACACAGGGGCTGCGAGACATCCTGGTGAGCTGGGAGTTTTTCAAGCTTGTCGATGTTGTCTTCCAGCATCATGAAACCGGGGTTTGGGGTTTGGGGTTTGGGTTCAAGGGGTCAAGGTCAAGGCGCGCGCCCTCTACACTCCCCGTCCCCATTCAGGAGCAATAAGAAGCACAGAAGGGCACCCTTGTTTGTTGAGAGTTTTATAGCGGCCCTAACAACAGACCCGACCTCAGAGAACTTTCTAAGCAGAAGCCTAAACCCCGCACCTATAAACTCTGCAAATCCTAAACCCTGAACCCTAAACGGCCCCAAACCCTAAACCTTGAACCCTCAACCCTAAACCCTAGACCCTCAACCCTAAACCCTAAAAACCCTCAACCCTAAAACCCTCCACCCCCTTCCCTTGTCGGCTCTCGAGCCTTTCATCGCGCATGAGACGCTGCCACCGTTGCATCGGAGTCGACCCCCCGAGACCCTGAAGGTTTAGGGTTCAGGGTTCAGGGTTTAGGGTTTAGGGTTTAGGGTTTCGGGTCGATGGTTGCCCGAAGTCCACATAAGAAGCCCTTGTTTTTCTTGTGGGAGTGCCCCCTGCGCTTGAAAGGACCTTGGGCCCCGAACCCTAAGGACCTGAAGCAAAAGGATCTTGCGTTTAGGATTCCGGTCTCAGCCTTCACGGGCGACGCGCATGGAGTGGCTAGCATGGCTTGCTCTGGCAAAGAAGGCGCCTACCCCCGACGTGCTTTGCATTCGGGGCTTAAGGGTTTAAGGGTTTAAAGCACCTAAGCCGAAACACCACCCCCCTAAAGCCCCCCGGTGGTATAACATGAAAGAACAGCTGCGGAATGCACATGTGCGATGAAGGCTGTCTTTACACTATCTCTTACGCTTAGGTTACAAGTTGGCCGACCCAGGCAGCCTTGATGAGATACCCCGAAGCCCTAAAGCCTGGACGCGGGTGAGTTTTAGGGGCTTTGGGGCTCATGTTCACACCTTACACCCTCCAGCCGTAGAGGTCAGAAGCGACCGCCATGGCCGCCGCATCAGAGCAGGCGGACAGAAGTGCTGCAGCAGGGTTCAGGGTTCAGGGTTCAGGGTTCAGGGTTCAGGGTTCAGGGTTCAGGGTTTAGGGTTTAGGGTTTAGGGTTTAGGGTTGGTTTAGGGTTCAGGGTTCAGGGTTTAGGGCGGGTTCTGGTTCTCGGTGTGGAGCCACACCGTTGCTTTTCAAGGTGTGGCAGACCCCTGGGTCCCCTGGTCCCGTGGCTCCTTCGGTTCGAAACTCTGTTTTTCAGAGGCGTTACAAACCCCATACGCCCTGTGGCCCCGGTAACCCCTGCAAACCCTGTAAGCCTGTGTTGTTCATGGCGGGGCCCTTGCTTGACAGGATGAGGCGGCCAGGAGGTTGCAGAGAGTGCCTTTGGCCAGCTGTTTAGACGGCGCAGGTCTCAGGGTCTACGGTCTACGGCTCAGGGTTTTGTGGTGTTTTGTGTGGGATGAGCGAAAGTCAACAGAACTGCAGCAGCTTTGGGGAACCCTAAGCCGTAAACCCTAACCTTAAACCCTAAACCCTTAACCCAGAACCTCCCGAGGTGGCCAAGCGGCTGCTGCGACGGCGACGGCCGAAGGCCCGAGCTGTCGCGGAAGCAGGCCACGGGGACTGCACCGCAAGGGTTCGCTTTTTACACCTTGTGCGTCTACTTAGAATCTCCTAGCAACCCTATTGAAATACCCAGAACCCACCTTACGAACCCCAAACCCTAAACCCTAAACCCTAAACCCTTGCAAGATCTTTTTAGGCTCGGCACTCCGATGGATAGGTCCTCTGGGATTGCGTCCTCCAGGAATACCTGCCAAGCCGGCGGTTACTACTTTTTTTCGAATTTAGGGTTTAGGGTTTAGGGTTTAGGGTTTAGGGTTTGGGGTTTGGGGTTTGGGGTTTGAGGTTTAGTAGTATTCAGCTCGCTTTGTACGCAGTAACAATGTTGGTATGCTTCGTGAGTGTGTTCGTCCATACGGCTGTTTGAAGGCTTCCACCGTCGGGAGGAACACTCTCGAAGCTGCATTGCTGCTGGAATTGGAAAGTCTTTTCTCGTGCACTGGAGGGGAGTACGAGGTGGAGCATGAAAAGTCCGTCAGGTGAGCCTATACGGGCAACACGGGGATCATTAAGCAAATAGTAGGTTATGGTCCTTTTTGGGGAGAACTACAATG